TTCTTGGGCTCTTGATTTTTAAAGTGTCGTTTTGATACAAACTGAGTATTTGTTGACTGAGCGCGCAAACCATAACATGATATTGTTATGACATGATATAATATGTATTATATTATTGCTAAGAGTATAACAGCATTTATCGCATGTTAACTCTTAGCCTGCCAATGACCGATTTTTTTTTCAAAATTACTGACTCCAATATTCATCGTACTCATTCATAACCTTTTGACAGTATTGCTGTATGATAAAATGATTTAATCTGATTATCGATGTTATCAACAGGTGAAAGCGTTGTTTTATCTAGAATAGAGGAGTGTAGTATTTATTTACTACGTTAGTTTTGTAGAAGCACTCTTTACAACAAGCAGAATCCTCGCGATCCTTATCACTCACTTGCTTGATCATCTCTAGGGAAGTGTGAGCTACATATGTTACTTGGGAAATTACGAATCCCTGTGGAGAAATTCTTTCACATCCATATCAGCGTGCTATCTCTTTTTTTTTCTTTTAAAGGACAGGCGCATTGCGTGTTTTTATATCAAGGCAGTTGATATATAAGAAAGATATGCTTCCTTGTTAAAATATGCTTCTGAATGAGATTTCATAAAATGCTTTCCGTTTTGGAGACCCTTTTCGTTACATTCATACGAATGTCCCGCGTGCTGGTAAAAATGTTTTTTTAGAACTTTTGTTGAACTGAGTATCATCCACACTACTTTCTTTCCTTTTCTTCTTTTTAGCTTAACAGTGTAGCCTTTTTCTTTTACCATAACTGTCGCAGGAGGTTACAAAGTCGTTTACCTGGATTTCGCAGTGCTATCTCATCAAACGTTGCTCAAATAAAATATCCAAAATAGAAATTCCCCTTGTGTCTTTTTCAATTAACTAACCACATATTTACATTTTGATCGGATCTAACGCTTTGGACATTTCTATTAGTAATCTTGATACTGTTACGAGAACATTTCATGAAGACTTGATAGCAACTTGCAGTATCAAATTTGTAGTGATTAAATTGCTTTAAAAACAAGTTCGTTCAAAAGATTTGACCTGTTTTTGGAAATGGAGTTATGCACAAATGGCCTTTGCACATAAATGTTGTTTTGATTTCACGTTTCTTAGGCAAAATTAGCGAGCCTACGATGTCTAAACTTTCACTGTAAGCTGAATTTGAGATTTCAGATTACAAAACTCGCGGAGTAAATTGTGATGAGTAAGATCCATCAAGTGGCCAAGGCTTCATTCTTCACTACCTGACATATTCTTTAAGGTTTTTGTGCAAAAATTACGCAAAGCTGAGCAAATCTTTCACCAACCGATTTGATCACAACTCTCTTTAGGTTCGCAGCAAATGATCTTCGAGTAAGAGAAAGTA